CGTACAATTCCAAAACCAAAGACGATATTCCAAAACGGTTTCCTGCTCTGGAATACTTGTGCCATACCCTTTTTAACGACACCAAGCTTTTTCTTTCCAGGACCAGCCTTTACCCTAACCCTAACCCAAACCATAATCATTACATGATCATTAACTTTTTACCATAGCTGAAAAGTTCAATCACGTACAATTCCAAAACCAAAGACGATATTCCGAAACGGTTTGCTGTTCTGGAATACTTGTGTCATACCCTTTTTAACGATATCAACCTTTTTCTTCCCAGGACCTTCCTTTATCCTAGCCCTAACCCAAACCCTAACTATTACATGATCATTAATTATCTTTTTACTGTAGGCTTTTCTATACATACATATCTATACAATACACATATCTCTATCTCTATCTATCTATCTATCTATCTATCTATCTATCTATCTATCTATCTATCTATCTATCTATCTATCTACACGCTCCCCCATAACGTAACCTCCTTAGCTAAGGTACTAAGCTTCATAGACAGCTAATTTTGTAAGTAGAGCTCACAGAGCTATATATGGTAGCATGACGTCTGTCTACATGAGAACACGCCTGATTCCTTTCACCTTCATTGTTACTAGGCAGATTTATTTTGCTTTCATTATCACATTGATTTGTTTACTGATCGTTCAAAAACATAAGTACAAAGCAGCACCAAGGCGCTGGATTTGTATTAAAAAAACTACACGTAAAAAATACAAAAACCACAAAGTTATAACATTAGAGATGACTTTTACTTCCAAGTTAAGTTGGCACAAAGTGTTAGACAGAAACATGGTAGAACCCGAGACCCCGGGCGAGATAAAAGGACACATAATCTGGGGATCGAGGTTTATTGTATGTAAGCAGGGGAAGAAAAGACCCACCTCACTATTCTACAAACACTGGATAGATTCAGGTATAGTACATATAGATGACTTGCTAGACGATAATCAATGCATAAATGAAACATTTATTTTCGAGAAACTTAATGATAAGAGAAAATGGCTACAAGAATTATATATATAAAAAAGAGCGATCCTCAAGAAGTGGTTAACGTTGTTATATATGTATGACCCAGAATTAGTAGTACAAACTTGGTAGCAATCACTAATTTTTCTCCATACACCTGTAAATATTTATGTATAGACAAGATAGAACATCCACAACTCTTGGTTTAACCACAGAAAGAAAAGTTTCTGAATAGAATCCTTCCTAATAATCAAAATATCTTTAAATGGAAATTAATAAGGTCACCACTATGTAAAATCTGTTCAGAAACAGAGGATGAAAAACATATGCAAAAGACTTAACAATTTTTGGAAAAAAATGGAGAAATTACTGAACATTATAACTACTATTAAGAATATCAATGCTGAAACACTGTTATCTGGATGTCCACAGAACCAACAAAAATCAAGTGCAACTAATCATACAATAGCTATAGCAATGTACGCTATAGTTAGAAGCTGGTGCACTTATAAGAACAAAGATTGTTATAATGAAATAGATCCATTCTCTGTTTTTCTAACTGACCTTGCTTCCATCTTAAAAAAAGAACAATATATATCATACATAAACGCAAAAAGAAAATGGGGAGATCTTCTGTGTCTTATAGATTGTGATTAATATACTGTATATTCTGTAAGTCTTGGTACATTATTGTGATTTTGAAATAAGGACCACGACACTTGGGATCGTGGAAAGGAAAAAAAAAACAGGACAAAACCATCATGTCCTTGAACGACCCTTAAATGACGTGTAATGAGCTATGAACACTGTGGCGTGTTTGGTTTATGTATGTGTTAGATCATCTGTATGATTTCATGGCGGCTCTGGTATGTTTTTAGCCGGCCCTTGTCATCTGAATGGCGCCCTCATTTTTTCTCCTTTAATGACAAAGTGACGCACACAACGTAGCGTGATTGGAGACCCTTCCGAAACGCCTGACACATCTCCTCTACGTCTTCCTCTGACGTGCGGTCTTGGTCAACAAACTTGCCGGTGAAGTGCATCTGTCCGCCGAGGATGAAGTACGCCTTGCGGTCGAAGACGGCGACCTGGGAGGCGAACTTGTGAACGCACGCGGGCTGATGGATCACCGACCACGCTGAAACAGCCACGCCATCCTTGACGAAGACCTTACACATCTCGACAGTCGTGTTGTCAACTTTCTTACCGTTGACGACCGTTACACCGCCCCCTATGTAGACAGTGTCACCTTGCACCATCGCAGTTGCATCCGCATGGGGTTGGTTCGTGGACGACACCGTCTCCCACGAACTCCTCGCCGGGAAGAAGGTTTGGACTGTTGAAGCTGGCGTATCCGTATAATTGCCGTCTTGCCCCGTGGTTCGTTGATTACCACCGACGGCAAGCACAACTCCCTGACAGCTTGCCAGGGCCACCCCATCCTCGATCACGGTTACAGGCGGGATTTTTGTCCACCGACCCACTGTAATGTCGAAACACCAGGCTTTCTTTTCACCACAACATACAAGGAACAATCTCGCTCCGACAACAACCATCTGTCCTTTGTTTGTGCCATACGACGATATTCCATCAGGTGACGATAGCGTGTTAACGGTGCTGGTTGCTGGGTCAAAGGACTTGAAATGTGGAGATGATGAAAACAGCACATACAGCACGTTCCCAACAACAGCTGCTGCGATGACAGTTGACCCACTGTCTCCTAGCGAAACATCGCTGCTCTGCTTCCATCCTTCCGCTGTGAAGATCTGAGCTGTCGAACCCAAAGCTAGCGACGTCTGTTGAAGTCAAAGTACAAAGCAAATCAAAACTAGTTTTTCTGTCAATACAGAGAATTCAATACATGACACATATAGCATACACATGATGTCAGTTTCAAAACTACTGTCCATGTCCCATGCGACAGCTTGTCCCAGTTTTCCGTTTCTGCAATCCCATGAGAGCTAAATAATTGTCAAGATATGTAAGCAAATATTTAAAATTAATTAGATACCTTAATGTTATTTTGTGTCCTCGGCTTCGACCGTGGCCAGTTTAAACCTCGCCTGGTCTCGGGAGAGAGGCCGTGATAGCCCATCGCTTCCAGGATGAGGTTCCTCCCCTCTGGTGTTGCTCCAAAGTCGGTCTCCAACTGTCCATACAGGACGTCCACATCGAGTAGGGCGAGCTGCACATGGCTGAGCACCGCCGCTGCATGCTCCATCCGGCCGGCGTCGTGTGTCAGCCATCGCATGGCCGCCTCATACACCTGGTGAAAAGGAGACTAAAGACTGTAAGTGGAGAAATATACTGAAGATGGCAGAGTACACAGCACACATGCTGCGCCATTACTCAGTTATCTACTGAAATGTTCGTGGCGTATAGATTACAAGTTGCAGTGAGTGACTTAACCTGCTGTTCGGATGGCACCACAAGATTCTCAAACAGTAAGAGCTTGATCAACTCGTCCTTGGTAGCAGACTTCATGAAGCCCTCGGAGCTGGTCAATTCCATGAATTCTTCTGCAGCTACGGCATCTAGCGACTCCTGTAGGTTCTTCATGTTGTACAGGTCTGCAACCTTTTTTTTTTTTTTTTTTTTCATAACTACCATGGTCCCAAGCCATGGACTTTATTCAGATTCACATATGGTGTACATGTGGTGTCGTCAGACAGAAAATCATTTTAGATACAAGCATTTTAAATAAAGACGGGTAGATATACTTATGCAGCAGAAGTTATAACGCTGTTATCGCATAATGTCGTAAACAGTTGGAGTACATTATGGTTTTCTAATAATCTCGGCTTATCTTTATATCTGGTCCATGACAGAAATATTGCGTACTTTGCTAAGGTAAGATGACTGTTGGAAGAATCGCTAAGTAACACTGATTCTAATTCTACATTCATGTGTCTATCAAATATTCGCTTAAAGATTTCTTCCCAATACCCTGTTAAGCGTTTACAGTGGATGAACATATGCATATAATTTTCAACAGTATTACATAGCTCACATTCGGGACTGTAGATGCTCCCGTTAGTGTTAACAATTCTCCATTTATTAAGCAACAGTTTACAAGGGAGTATTTTATGAAGGATTTTGAAATTAAACTCTCTGAACTTATTGTCTTTGATGTTCAATGTTTGTGCCATCCATATTTTTCTCCAGTTCAAACTGGGAGACAAAGTGTCCCAGTAAATTTGAGCAGCAGGTATTGTAACATTCTTACAAACACTAACATGGTACAAGTATCTACTGGTAAGTTTTTCAATTGGGACTAAACAGGAATTAAACCATATCGTATGGTCATGCATAGTATTTATCATGTCCGTTGCTGTATAATTCTCTTCAGAGATCCAGTTCAATCCTATTGCCCTTTTAACTTTCATAAATTCACAAATCCAGTTCTTTCTATCTATAAGGTCACTTAACAGCTTTTCCGATGTTATAAACTCCAAGTTTTCACATATATCATTAACATATATAAATCCACTTTTGATCCAGTGTTCAAAATACAATGTATTATTGCCAACTTTGTAGTTTTCGTTACACCATATAATTTCCTGTCTCTGTTTCACAAGGTCTGTTCTACCTCCTCCCAATTCATGCCATGTCAACACTATCTGTCTGTAGAATGGTGGGAGGGCTCTTAATACTGGAGCATCTCTACTTTTACAGAAATTGAATCGGAAGAGAAGGAAATCTTTCCCAAAATGTTGAATAAAATGTAGGGCAATTAGGTGCCAATGACTAACTGTAGCAACATTGTGTGTCGTCTGTATTAGCCGTTTAACCCATGAAGCCTGTAGGCTTCTGCATTTTAATTTTATGTCCAACATTTTGATCCCTCCATCTAAATAATTTGAGTACAGCACCTTTCTCTTTACTTTGTCAGGCTTATGATTCCATAGAAAAGAGAAGCATGCCTTTTCAATTCTTTTCAAAGCCCACTCCGGTGTTGGGATCATAGTCATGGTATAAATAATTTGGGATATTGCTAGTGTTTTAATAACTAATACTTTGCCGTAAAGAGTTAATTTTCGTCTAAGCCATCTTTGTAGTAGATTTTCCATGCTCTCTATTCTCTTTACCCAGTTCAAAGTCTCGCATTCTTCTTCTGACAGGCTAAAATAGATCCCTAAAGATTTGATAGGTCTATTGGGCCATGCAATTCCGAAGGGGGTATCACTCCGTCCCCGATTGGCCCCAACCCATAATGCCTCGCACTTCTTACGGTTTAGAGTGGGTCCGGCTACATAACTGAAATCATCAACAATCTGTAATGCACCTCTTATGGATTCATCTTCCAAGAGCATAAGAGTAGTGTCATCTGCCACCTGGCTTATCTTTATTTCAGATATGTTATCAGTAGTTTCAACTTTAATACCTTTAACAGCGTCTGTTTGTCTGATTTTGGTTGCAAGGACTTCAACCACAAGGTTAAATAATAGGGCGGATAGAGGACACCCCTGTCTGATGCCTCTTTGCAACTTGAAGTAAGCAGATTTCCATCCTGCATTCATGATGCAGCTTTCTATGTCAGTATACATGGTTTTAACTAATGAGGTAAATGTGGGTCCAAAACCAAACTTATCCAGAGTTTTAAGCATGAAATTCCAGTGAACCGAGTCAAATGCTTTTTCGAAGTCTAGCCAGACGACTGCAGCAGGTAAGTTATAGTAGTTAGAAAAATAAATAACATCCTGAATGAGTCTGACATTTTGTCCAATAAACCTGGACTTAACATATGCAGTTTGATCATTAGAGATCAGTTTAGGAAGAAAACTCTGCAGTCGTTTCGCTAAGACCACTGCTAGTAACTTATAATCAGTGTTTAGCAAGCTTATTGGTCTCCAATTTGCTAAGTCCGTCTTATCGCCCTTCTTATAAATAAGTTTTAACAAGGCTCTCTTTTGTGTCACAGAAAGGCATCTGCTATCAATCCCTTCTTTCAAGGCATCACAAACTAGATCTCCAATTTCATTCCAGAACTTCAGGTAAAATTCAGCTGGTAAGCCATCGCTTCCAGGTGATTTATTATGGTTCATAGATTTCAGTGCTAAGAGGAATTCATTTTTTGTTATGGGTTCATCTAGCAGAATCCCTTCCTCTTCAGAGAGAGTGGGCACTTCAACTGATTCAAGAAAAGTGTTAATCTGTTCATCAGAAGCAGAATTATCACTGCAGTACAGCTCCTTGTAAAAGTTTACTTCTACATCTAATATTTTAAATGGGTTTGTCTCCTCTCTGTTGCCATTCTTTGCATCCTTTAATTTGGAAATGGTGTTTTGTTTAGAGCGGGAGTTCTCAAGATTGAGAAAATACTTGTTGGATTTTTCACCTTTTTCCGCCCATTGCACCCTTGCTCTAACTTGAGCGCCTTTTGCTCTGTATTCATATATTTGTTCTAATTTTAATTTAACTTGCGTATATTCATTTAAGATCTCGTCATTCAAGGTTTCGTCTAGTTGACTTTCCAGTTCTTGCAGTCTCTTTTCTAGTTCTTGGTGTCCTATATTAATTCTACTGGCTTTAATCTTGGCATATTTATCCGAGAACTCCTTGATCTTAACTTTACATATTTCCCAAGCTAATTGTTTTGATTCACTGTAATTTTCAAACTCCTTGACTACAGAGAGTACAGTAGATCTCACACCCATAACATAGTTCTCATCCAACAGGTGGGAGGTATTCAGGCGCCAAGACCCTGGCCCTCTGGCAAAATTTTCGAGTTGCAATTTCAAATAAATGGCTAAGTGGTCTGTTTTTATAGATGTACGTATGTCACATCTTATTACATTAGAAACTAAAGATCTGTTAACAAGCCAGAAGTCAAGTCTGCTTGATACAGGCTCAGGGTTTTTACGCCTCCATGTATACTGCCGTACATGCGGATGGTGTTTCCGCCATATATCAACCAACTCAAGAGTTCTTTTGAAAGTAGTTAACTCTTTTTCAGATGTGGTTGGCTGAGTTTGGTGCCTACTTGTTCTGTCTAAATTGGGGTCATTAACCATGTTAAAATCCCCTCCTATGATCAGGTTATCCACATCATTATCTATAATCCAGTCCTTTAACACAGTAAGGAATGGATGTTGTTCTGCTCTCTCAGTAGGAGCATAAATATTTACGAGTGAAAAGTCTTTACATTTCAGCATTAAACGTCTTCCATCCATTCCTTTCACTATGTCAAGAACATTTATATCTATGTTTTTCTTACAAAGAATGGATACACCTTTGCTATGAGTACCACCGAAATCATGATACTGCGGTCCATTCCAATCAAGTTCAAGGACCTTGATCATGTCTTTGGTGAAATAAGTTTCCTGCAACAGAAAAACATTGGCTTTCTGGCATGTCAGCCAGTGGTATAAGCTTAATCTCTTTTGCTTGTTCCTAAGCCCTCTGACATTGAGGGACATAAAGGATACCGTAGCTGCCATGAAGAAGAGTCACTTACACAAAAGTCAATGTTCCTTTAGTCATCTTCATCACTACTTGTACTTAAGCTTGTTGTGTCCGTTCCTGGCGGGCTGCTCCATGTGTTACGTCCCGCTTGGATCAGTTCATCAATCCGGGGGTCAGGTGCGTGGACTTGACTGCTGGGCGGTACTGCTCCATCCGTCCCTGCAATGCCTCTGCCACTGCTCCTTACTACACTCCTAGTCACCATGGCAACCTTCCGGCTCTCAGTTGTAGTCTTAGCTTCTTTCTTTTTCTTGTTTTTGCCGGTCTTCTTAGTAAAGTCCGTTATCTGCCTCTGTTTGCTAGCATGGGCAGTATTGTCTCTTTCAGGTTCATCGCCACCCTTATTACTGACCTCAGCCTCAGACAGGGGGGCAACGGTATCATCATGTTCTCCCTCAGTATCCTTGTCTGCAACCTTGACCAAATGCGAGTGAATGAATATAATTAGTTTGGTACAGAAAGAAGAAAGAAAGACAGAAACACATTTCCGGGACTCCCATTGATAAATACAAGACCTTACAAAACAAAAATGGAATTTAACCTCTATCTCAAACACCAGTAACTGATTATCATTATTGTATTTTATGATTTTTGAGTTTCTTTGTTGTCTAATTGATTTACTCGTGTTCTTAATAATTATTTTATGTTATACATGTACTAGTATTACTTTCTTGTACCTTGTTTCGGTTGACTCCCTTCAAAATCAGCCTCCTTCAACGGCTGAAGGGACTACCAATATGTTTCAAAATAGATAAAAAGATAACGGGGAAGTTTACCTGGATTCCTCTGGTGTATTTTGCCATATCAAAATGAGGATCACAAAGATTTTGAATGATGAAATCACTGCAAAGCTGAAGAGCCGATTGAACCTGCAGTTCATTGACAAAAAGCAAGGTGGCGCAAAACTTTATTACTAGTACGTACAATATTTGGTCCTATTTGGCGTAAATGAAGTCCTAATTCGTAGGGGAACATATCTAACACAGCCGAAAAAATGCAAATGCAAGATGCTGGTAGGACATACATACACAAAGAAGGTATACAAAATTTTCGATTTATTCGTTGCAGTCTAATCATGCCTAATCACAGACTCAGAAGTATTCTGACTACCTGCAGATGGTTGGCGACTGCTAGAACTTCGTACACGCTCATCGAGGACACCACAAGCTGCCCGGTGTACAGGAACTCCAATAGGAGACCAAACGCCTCAGCTGACACGCTGGGGTCTTTCAGATCCACACGTTTCTCATGACTCTCCTTCATACCTACAGGCACACGATAGAAGGCAGACAAGCGTATGACAAAGTGTACTTTTAAGTTTGCCCCTCTGGCTGAACCTCCAGGAAGCAAACTTTCTTTGGGAGCATGGCTCATGCAAGCCCTGGCAATTTTTGCTTACATTTGGCTAGCACGCTAGGAAATGCACTCAAAGTCCTATTTGTGACGACAAACTGGGCGTAGCAAAGAAACTAGTCGGTCCGTATTGGTCTGACATAGTTTTCACTTACCAGATGCGAACAAACCCCGAAAGTAGTCGCTGCCGTAGGCCAGGACTGTAGAGTGCGCCCTGAACTCTTCCTCCCCTGCAACAACCGTCACGTCCAGCAGGACTTTCTCGGCTCTCAGGTCGTTCAGTACCGACAACATGTCGCCGCCGAACGCTGGGTCACTCAGGGTACATTTTACCTCTTTGTCAGCTTTAGCGCTGCTGTCCGCCATTTTGTTGACGTGTCAGGCGAGTAACTTGACTTACAGGTTGAGAGATGGGCGTGTCTGATAATAAGCAGTGGTGCGTACGCTGACGTCACAGCGCTTTTTGAAATTAATTAATACTTAGGTGTGATTCAGGTGCCGGTGTGTGACGAGGAAAATGGACAGTACTGGCAACAGCTTAGAGACTATCGAAACCGGGCCAACAAAACTGCTGGCAAAAAAAAATAACACCGAAGTTGTCCCGACGTTTCACCCAAATCCACGCAGCGTGCTGATAATTCTGCAGCATCTGTCATCTTTGTAACTGTTGATCTCCTCTGCTTGTCCATTATTTCCAGAGCCCCAGGTGGACTGCTTTGGAATCCCCTGATACAGCAATGTCGGCCTCTTGCAACTTGTCATTGACACAAAACATGCATATTTAGTTATAGTTGAATGACTCTACTATCATACATGTACAAACAACCAGCAAGGCGGATGTGACGTCACGAGAAGACCACCTGGGCGTTTGAAACAAGAAAAACCACTACGTCATGGCAAATGTCGACAGGGCGGCGACGTTCAACAGATTACAAACTGCTGCTCTTCCAGTCGCCATATTTACAGTGTTACCTTCATTAGTCAGATCATCTACAGCTTTAAGAAGTCTTTTGTGGATCAGCAAGGTGATTGTTGCTTGATTCAGCTTAACTTTTCGTCACTGTCTCCAAATAGCTTGAAGCAGGTAAGCTCTTAAATGGCCTTCAGTACCTCTACAGGTCTTCACTTGTACAGCCACTGAAGGTGAGGTATTTTGTGAACGTGGTACCACAATAAGGCCGCCATTTTAGGTCAACAATGTCAAACTACAAAATGTAGTTTTTGAACGCCCATTCTACTCCCAGGGCCATAAAGCGAAGAACACTTCGTATTAACCCTACCTAGACCGGGGGGGGGGGGGCTAAAAGTGCCCGCGGCAACTTTGATGTCACCTAGCGACTGAACGACTAGCCGTAGAACGGCCAAACTTGGTGACTTTTCCTAGAATATTGTTGGCAACAATTCTCTATCATTGGAATAAGATAATAATTTTTTGTGTTGCCATGGCAACGGGTTTCTGACAGCCATTTTTTGCTAAATTTAGTACTTTTTGTTTCAACAATAGAATTTTATGGGTTTTATGTCAAGTTACTCATGGTTTCTAATATTGATAACATCCCATAAAATTTTATGTAAATTTTATCATTAAATATGCATAATTTATGCTAATTTGATGACGTCATTGGCCAAAATCCAAGATGGCTGACCATATCATTAGAACAGGTATATACAGGTTATTTTCATTAAAATTTCATCAATACTTCCATTTCTTTTTCCAAAAAAGATTCAAATGAAGGTCTTTAGTATGTTTACAATGTATTTTAGGCTTTATCATGAAAAAAAACTATTTTTGAAAATTCAAGATTGATGATCCAAGATGGCGGATATCTTAAATATGCATGACGTCATTTTATGACGTCAACGGTGTTGCTATGGGCAACATAAGACTTAGTACACCATAATATTATGGCATAAACACTTTTGGTACAGTTATGTTGAATACCATTTAGTTTTCAGGGAAAAACCTATTTAGACGGTTTTGGCCAATAAAATCACATTAATGACGTCATAATGACGTCATATTACGTCATAACGACATAAAAATTGTAGATATGATAAAGTTTTACTAGTACACCATTCTCTAAAAATTTAGTGGTCATACGACATACCGTTCGCGAGTTCTTAGGGGGGGGTCAAAGAGCCCCCCCCGTCCCCCACTGTCAAAAAAGACCCGGTCTAGGTAGGGTTAACTTGTTATATTTCAGTCCATACCATGGATGAAATATATTGTGTTCCCTCATGTTTCTTCTTCTCCTTCTCCTTCTCCTCCTCCTCCTGCCACACAGTCAAAGGGATTCAACTCTGTCATTTTTTAGTCAAATGACCTGAAATTTGGCAAGGAGGTAGAGTGGGCCAATACCCCTAG